GAATTAAGAGATCTGGATTGTCTGTCATAGACAGGTCAAATGTTGTCATACTAATTGTATGTGGATACTGTTGTAATATCACAAAGGGAAAATTCTTCAAATTATACAATACTTTAATTTTCTAAAAGGTTACTTGATGATTTTTCGGAATAAATGGATGATAAATGCCTGATTATTTAAATATAATATCAGATCTAGAGTTATTAAACTAATACTATCTGGCTCGTGCAAATAATTTGCCATTTATCACACAACAATTGATAAAATAGTATGGAAGTATGTTAATGAAATCTATTATCAGGTGAAGGAAATTTTTTTTATTTTCTTGGTCAAATTAAAATAGTTCATTCATAATACTTAGTCAAAACTTTTGTGCAATTTACTGTAGTCTATATATTTGCTCACAATGGCCCGATTTTGTGCATACTTTTCCTGTTATGGTCAAATTAAGTTTGTTTTTATTTTTAAGTTTTTTTTTCTGAGATGTTGAGGTTATGTTAAGAGAATCTTTAAAATGATGGTCGGTTAATTGGAAGTAATGAAAATATAATGAAATAAATAACAGTGAGAAAAAAAAGATAGTATATATCGTATTTATTTTTAACGATGGTGACTTTTCAACTATTTACAGGTCATTTTAGATATTTGTATTACACAATATTTGAAGCGAAGATATTGAAGTGTCAAGCGAAAAAGCTAAAACAAATAAAATCTATTTCCCAATATGCTACAACATAGTAGGCAAGACAGGGTTCGCCAACTAGGACAAGCACCACATCTTCAAATCTGTTTATCTGTCAATTCTTCTCTAAGGTGTTGTTTGACATTAAAAATCCAATTTATAACATATATAACAGGCTTTTAACTTGTTAACTTATCCAGTACAATTAAAGCCTCAACTCTGTTAGTGCCAGGCTGTTTAAGGTTAATGCCAGGCTGTGTGAATAAGGCTGTTAAGCCTCTAACAATTCTGTTAATGGAGTGCCTTCGTCAATTTATATCTTCTTAGTTGAATGAAGGAGCATAAAACTTCTGTAAGGTGATTTCTTTAAACAATATTCAAAGAGGTTAGTGAAATTGTTTATTGTATAAAAGTATGCTCGTGTTTAAGTATATGAAATAAATAATACCTATTTATTTGTTCTAACTCCAGTCCAGTCAATGACCTTAATTCCTTACAAAGAAGGATAATTGAATCATGTGAAACAATAACAAATATCCAGTGCCGTTCTGTCACTGCTGCTGTTGAAGAAAGATCTGTCTTCCGAGCCTGTCTTAATGCTTAAGGAAATCACTTTGAACAACATTTAATATGAATTTTAATATTTACATTTAATTAATAAAGTAGTTAGATAATTAGATAATAAAGTAGTTAAGTTGTTAAATAATAAACAAAATTATAAGAATATTGATATATTAAACTAAACTTTATAATTATTTTATCTCAGGTATGGGTGACTGACAATCAGATCAAAACACTCAAACAAACTAAAATTAAATATATATATATTGTAACATCTCTGTTATATTTTACAAATAATAATAATATAACCTTGGTTGATCAGTTCAATACTATTGGGATACTTCCTTAATAAATAAGAGATTATTAAATAATAAACAAAATTATAAGAGTATTAATATATTAAACTGAAATTTACAATTATTTTATCTCAGGTATGGGTTACAGGCAATCAGATAAACTCAGACAAACTATTATTATTTATACTAAAATTAAACACTGATTTTAAAATAAAGTCAAGTATGGATTGGCAAGCTAACTTTTCTATATATAATATTTTTTCCTTTGTGGCACTGAATAAAATTTGTCTTCTAATGCTTTCCAAAGTTCTGCCCAACACAACTTCCAAAATGGTGACACATACATTTACTCAACTCAAGTTTCTTGGGAGATCCTCTCTGGGGATTCCAAACAATTAGTCTCTCTGCCAAACTATAACTTCCAAGATGGTAAAATTATTACTGGGTTTTACCCACGGGAGCCAGGATACCTTCCTCTCTTCACCCCAACCAGACGCCAACGTCTTGCCAAAACAAGAATCCTTTGTCCTTTTCCCTCTTTGGACTTTTCCTCTTTGGAGAAACTACAGAGCAGCTATTTTCTTTTCCGTGAACTATTAGAACTATATTAGCTTCCCTTTTAACTATTCAACATTAATTTATTAAACCATTTTTACCAACTTCGAATAAAGGTGTACATTGCAGTAAATAACACCGAAATGCTTACTGCTGAATACCGAAATGCTGCTGCAACATGTCTTGCAAATTACATTTAGCTACAATTTGACTCTAGACCCATCTGTGCAGTCTCAATATTTCCCAAAATACAGTTTTTTGATGTAATTTTTTGTTTCAAGTAAATTTATATCTTGCAGCCCTATTTTTCTTTGGGAAATGCTCTTTTCCATTTTGTTATGGATGCAGAAAAATTTTGAGAGGAACCACATATTAACCATCCTTTTTGTATTTTCTTATTTATTCATTTTTTTACATTTTTCATATTTCCCAGTTCTACTCATGTTCTTTGAGTTACATTCCCAAAGTCTCTTCATAATGTTTCATGCCTATTAACATTTTTACTTCTTCTTCTTCCATGTCAAAAAATCTTGAAAGGACAATATTCATTAAATAATACTATTTTGCTGTTTTATTTTTATTTTTTTAGCTCTTATGGCAATGATAATAGTCTAATATTGCCAATAGTTTGAATCCCTCTAACAGAGTGTAATGTTTCTGGTAATAAGAAAAAATATTCTGAATTTCCTACCGCTAGACTGTAAGGAAAATACTGTGATTGGATATGCATTTTTATTTGTGTTTTAGTGCCCACTTAGGCCGTTATTTTTGGCTTAAGAGCTCGGAGGCCTGTTCTCTGAATCCTGAGATTTTCACACAGTAGTGGCTTCCCAATAACTAAATTCTTATTAGGACAGTAAGAATAAAATAAAAAAACTTCCAAAAGAATATAACGTTTTCATTAAACTTTCCCAAAGTATTCTCTCAAGAGACCCCTATCTTATCATAAAAGTACATCCTCCAGAAAAAGCAAGGACACAAATTAGAAGAAATGTTATTTGCACATAACTCATAGTAAGTCGAAAGTATGCATATTAATAAAAATGTTTGTTCATTCACTTGAAAGATAATCGAATTCTTTACAGAACAAAATAAAATAATTGAAATCGTTTAATTATTAACAAAGATAAATCTTGATATATATATAATTTTTTTTCCTAAGTTCTGTAAACGGTACTTGCTCTACATTTTTAAGAATTTCTTCAAGAAGAAAGGGGACGAGGAAAAAAGAAGGGGAGGAGGAAAGGTCACAATTTTTGGACTTTCGCTTATATCTCAAAAACTGTGCATAGCTGGAGAAATTTTTAATATGATTAATTAAATATCATAAAATTATGTAAAACGTTTATCCTGTACGTCTTATCCCAATACTAAACCGTTTTCCAGTTACACGCTCCGAAAAACTTGACAATTTCGAAAACAATCAATCAAACAGTCCTTCATATCTTCCACGATATTCATCAGAGAAAAAAAATCATTATAAGAAGTTTTAGAGACTTAAATTCCCTATTAGAATATATATGCATTTACAAATTAATCTCCAACCAGTCTACAGTTATAGCTGTTTTTAAAATTTTCGTAAAATTTTATTTTCAGAGAACGTTGTTTTTATCATATTCTTGACCCACAACTTTTGTTGGTTTGTGTAATAATATGTGTGGCCACACTTTGAACCCAATTGTTAAATAAAGTAGAAAAAAAATCATGATATTGTTTTTTAAAGATAATAAAAGGCTCATGATAATTTTATTCTATTTTGTTACATTAAGTATATACAATTATAAACCTCATTGTTATCACTGTGTTCAATAACATTTTAATATTACATTCACAACTTAATATGGAAACACGTTTGCATCCACTTTGAACGTGCGGGTCTTGGCAAGGGTTGATTAATTTTATCAAATATTGTTGTTGTTGAAATTGAAGCGCCATTTGTAAAGTAACGGCCAACAATAACGAAAAATGTCTTGAAATAAAACATATGTAAAATTTCTCTTTCTAAATCAGTGATCAAGTTTTAAAATATTTGAAACAGTTCATTAGAAAATGCACTTATTTTTCAACAAGTGAAGAAGATATGTCTTTTTCCTTTTTTTAAAATTGTTTTAATGCATTTCTTTTTATAGTGAAAGTTTAAATTCAATTACTATAGCAGTATATTTCTCTTCTAGAATGTGTAAAATCGTTGAAAAGTGGTACTTCCGGTAATACTGGAGGTGCTGTAGTATCCCAGACATATACCTGTCTTGTATACGTAATTTTTATTTTGTGAATCATTTCGTTATTTTAATTAATCTGTTCATATACTCACAAACAATTTCATGAACCACGGTTATTTGGACTCAAGATACATTTTAACTCGATATCAAAATTTTACACGATCCTGTTAATCTCCCTTAACATTTCAATTTTATACGTTTTAATATAAATATAGTTAGAGTAAAAAGTTTCTAATCAGAATCAGTTCCAAATGAATATCACTATGTATGATATTTTCCTATGAGAAATTTAATATTTTTTTATGATATTTACATAGAAATATAATAAATCAAGTTTTACTTGTTAATAATAAATAATAAATAAATTAATAATAAATATTTTTTTGTTTTACCAAGCCCTTCAGTTGTTATTTCTTCATATTACCATGGAGTGGTATTTTAATTATTTGAAATTTCAAAAGAAAAAGTATTATGCAATTACTGCAATTTTTTTTAATCATCAATTATTTTAAAAAATCCAATAATCAATTAAATTATTGAAAAGTATGATAAACTAATTTTTTCTGTAAATACGATAAATATTTTAATTAAACTGTCGTTAATTTAATCAAATATCATCCACGATTTTTTTTTTTCATAAAGTATATAACTCACAAATGAAAAATATTGACATATCAGTTTAGCATCTTGTCGTATATAAATTGTCTCGAGAATCGGTTGCCTTCGTTTATTTTCGGACACTTTCGACATCCATAAAAATAAGAGTTTTTAAGCACGGGCACCGTTTTACTCATTGGCAAGCTCAGTCTGTTGCTTCAAGTGATGGATGCTTATTGAGCTAGCTATCGTTTTTAAGCTTTGTTTACTTTTGAGTAAAGAATTTCTGAAATTTAACTGAATTATTGTGTAAGGTTTTAAATAACAAAAATGGTGGGTTCACCCGTGTTCAAAGCAAAAAGGCCTCCCACCCTACAGTCAATTTTAGATCATAATTTTGTTTTATTTCCTATAGTGGTATTTACGCTACTGGTTTTGAGTAATGTCGTAAGTTGTAATGGGAATAGACTTCATCTTCTCGAGACGAGGGAGGCCCATCGGTTAAATAGTGTTTGGGAATCACATTACGGCTCATTTCTTAAAAATTATTATTCTCCCGAAAGGAAGATGTCCAGAACACCTTCAAGTGATGAAGGTATTTTTTCTAATGATTCGCCTTCAGCTCCCGTACCCGGTCCTGACCGCTGCTCAAATATAGCCGACAACGATAAATTTGATTGCTTACCTCGAGGACAAGTCAGCGAGGAAGCATGCACTTCCCGGGGTTGCTGTTATCGTGAATCACCTCTTCCACATATTCCATATTGTTTCTATCCGAAACAATACAATAGTTACAAGTATACTTCATTTACGAAAACTGAGTTCGGATACAATGCTACCCTCGCTCAGCAGTTTAAATCACCTTTCCCCAACGATCTTCCAAAGTTGTTCATGGATGTTCAGTTTATTTCAGATGAGGCCCTTCTGATAAAGGTAAGCTTAAATTTTCATCAACTCTTTTTTTTTTATTTCTAGTTTACTAGTGATAGTAAATTTAGAGTTTTCATAAATAAATTTATTGTGATAAATGATCAAGATTTTATTAAAATTATTGATTTTTTTAAATAAACTTAAACCTCTTTTGAGTAAATTGATATGTTTTTTTTTTTTCTCGACTTGTATTTCGGTTAATATGTTCAAGAAAAAAATAACAGATATTTGAATAATATATAATACAATAAGTTTGTCCCAATATGGAAGGAAAGCCTTTCCAAGCTAGCTAAAACAACAAATATTTTACTAATCTCCACAGCAGTACTGTTGAATTTTTTGTTTTTTTTTTATTGCCCTCCACAATATGAAAACTTACCAATAGCCTTTGAAAACTATACTAAAAAAATATATGTATGTATCGTTAGAATCTATCAAATCGCAAAGCTTATGATTAATAATGCAGTCACAAGCAAAATGGAAGCACCACATCATGAACATTTCATATGTTGCAAGTTACTGTAGATCCCAGGTAGACAAACTCAGAGACCTGCTTAAACTTAAAAATAATTTAAAAAAAAAAAAATGAGGCTGATGTCCGAGCGAGTTTCCCTCTTTAACATTACCGAGTCTAGCGGCACATATTTGAATCAGGCTTGGGCGGGTTGAAATTTATTTCGTCACGGACCCACGGAATGAATCTCTTACCCGTCTGGTTAGAATAGGTTTGGTTGTACTCCTAGAACAACCAACTACTCATACGCAATTTATAACGAGGTAGAGAGTAACCAAAAAAAAAAAGTAAGAAAATTTCAATAATCATTATAGGTATGAACTATATCATATCACTCATAATAAACTGATTGAACCACTCCCAATGTATGGTATTTTATCACCCTGTCGCCATCATATTACAATGACCTTCGTCTCTGTATTTTTCTCTATAAATCTTCAATTTAATGTGATAGTTAATTATTTTCGAGTAAAAAATGAGTTATAACAACTATTTCTTTAATTTTTAAGTTTTTTTTTTTTAGAGAATGTAGAAAACTAATAATCTTTCTGGCAATTGTATATCGTAGTTTCCAATTACTTTGATAGATAGTCTATATTTGTAAATAAAACAAATATTTAATAATATTGTTTTTCTGAGATAACTACTGATATTCAAAGCAAGTGGAAAATTCCTTTTTTAATCAATGATAGGTGATAGAAAGTCACTTATTTATTCGTATTTTTATATTTTAGTTGTCATAAATTGATTACCGTTCTAAGAAATATTTTTAGTAACATACATTTTTTTTTAATATATACATTGTTCTCCTTAATTATCCCATTAAACTTTTAAATTTTTGGGTTGCTTGAGTCCAGTTTTGTACTGATTATAAATTAGAGACGTAACAATTCATTGGTTGAAGGAAAAACTTGCGAGATTGATACTTATCACAGGATCCTATATAACAGTTATATTTCAAGTATATATCAAGTCTTGGAATGTGATTTTACTGATTTTATTTCTTTTAAATTTTATATTGCTGAAATTTAAAATAATTGTCAAGTAGTGTACCTTGAAAGGGCGGTTGTATGTTATGAGAATTCCTTGACTTTGTTAAGCACAGAAGTATGAGGCTCTAGTTTTTAAATATGTTTAGAGGCAAATGAAAAACGCAGTTTATCTTATGAAATTCACATTTCCAAGTGTTATCAAATAAATATAAAACTATGAAATATAACTATAAAGAGCAGCATAAAAAAAAATGAGATAAAAGAAAAACTACTGTTCCTTTTCGGTTGATAGTCTGTATCAGCACAATAATAGATTTGCTGGAGGCATGGAGCGCCAGAGATTATTTCATTCCGATAAAAAGAGCTGATTAAAGAATAATGACAATCCTGTCTATGCTGACTTCATCATGTACAATATATTTCTGTTCCAAGATCCAAATTATTTAGCTAAAAAACGTATTTATAATAATCGTTATTGTTTATTAAAAGAGCTTAAACAAAGGTAGGTTTGATCAGAATTCGGCTGCCCAATAAGTGTTTTACAGAAAACAAACTGTTAAGATAGCTGTATAAGCCAGCAAGAGATATAACGTTTTTATTTATTTATTTTTATAATCTTATTTACACTGGAAGAAAAATAAAGAAACTATATGGTATTATGTTTCAGTAGAGTTTGAGGCAGGTTGAAAAAAACAAAAATATAAATCAATAAAAAAAGCTTTAATTACATGAACTATAATTTTTTTTTGGATACATTTTTTAGATTATTTTCTTATACGTTATACATTTCTTAGCTGTAATATAATTTTAAAAGAGAACAGGTTGTATTATTTTAAGTAATAAGCTCATATCACTAAGGGAAAAATATGGGCTAATGAAAAATACAAATATTTTTTTTTTATTTTGGGGAAATGAGCATTTTAAGAAGAACAAAACAATTGCAATGATCTTTCTAAGAAGAACAAAACATACGAGATCTTGAGGACGCTATAAACCCAAGATCGTGCGTACGCGGGCCACCTTCTGGTCATTTTAACTTTCACCAAGACATTAACATGTGGAATTGTGAGAATATTTTTTATCTATCCAAAAATAGTGCCCCACGAAGTGACTAAAGAGACTACACCTATCTTCACTAGCGGATCCAGGATTTATTTTTGGGGGGGGGCTTCAGCCCGAAAGGTTTTTTTTTTCATAAAAATAACGATAATTACTTTGGAAAAAAAGAAAGAAACTAACTACCTGTATGAAATGGTGTTTAAGTTATTCCTAAAGCTCTTTTAAATGTAATTACACGAATAATAATACTTTAAGAGATACTTTTTTAATATTTTTTTCGATAAAACATGGTTATATTTTACCATTTTGGGGGGGGGGGGGCTTCAGCCCGAAAGCCCCCCCCCCCCGTAGATCCGCCCGTGCCTATCTTAATATCGTATTTCCACAGTTCCCTATGTGTAAGCATTATTAATTATATCCAGTCTGTTGTTAATAATTTTAAGAGCAGTAAGTTGTGGTTTATCATTCTCTTTGAATTAATACATCTTTTCTCCGTTTAAGAAAATTGAAACTTTCATATATTCGTTGCTTAAACATTTCGTAAGGTGCAAATGTTCACTTTGCTTGGTCAAAACAATGAAAAGATTACTTTGATAATTGTGTAATGAACAAAGTCATCTGCATCTGATGAGGTATTACTGCAGGGGTGCCCAGAAGGGGGTTTCATGGTGCAAGTTGCGGCATCAATTTTTTTTAGGAGAGGGGTGGCATATTTTGATGGGTTTTTTGAATTTTTGAGAGGGGCAAATTTCGACGAAGTTATGAATTATCGGACTAAGAGACAAGCTGAAAAACATGGAACATACCGCAGCAAAAGTAATTGTATATGATCTACAATTTTTCTAATTCTACCTTTGCTTGCTCTGTTTTTAAAAAAGTGAGCAATAAAATATCTTGGAAGGAAAGGGAAGAAGGGAGGTTATTGCGCCATCGACCTTAGGGAGGGTGGATGGGCATCCCTGTGTTACTGACTCTAAGTTATCTATGTCTTTTTTTTTAATTAGATCACGCCGAATTAAACAATAAGCTTTCTTTTATATAACAATTTCTTATTATAAATATATTTGGATCCTCTTTGTTGTTTTGTTTTTTTATATTTTAGGTTAGCCATATATCATTATGAAATATGACTATTCTATTACCTGAAAGCAATAAAAAAAAGGATTACTAGTCCACAAATTTCAAGATTGTCTACTACTTACCTTTTAGCACCGTCCTTGTCTTTTAAATAATATATACTCGTATATAAATGTCTAGGAAATTTAAAATTATTGTTTCTTAAGTTCGTCCGATAACTGTACTGGTTGTCAACTAAACGATGCCCGAAACTTGAGGGTGTGATTGTGAACCTCAAGTGCAACAGAATCTTTTATTCGAGCTATGGTATCAATTCTTAACACATCATTAATAAATTTAAATTTTTAGCTGTTTTCAGGTTGCCATTTTTTTTTCTTTAATTTATGGCGATAACTAGAAAGCATATTTATTTCCTTCCTTCCGGCAGCATCGATTTTTGGTAGAAGTGCCGTGCTAGTTCTATCTTTTTTTCTTGTTCTTCTCTCTTCTAATTTATTGGATTAGGTTGAAATGATCAACCCCCACTAATTCTTTCCACCAATACACGAAGGTTGCATAGCAAACCCTTTCCCTCAGTTCGTAAGCAAAGATAACTGGGTAGTTAGGTTGGGTCTATGATGGTGTAGAGTCCAGTTTACCTCACTTATTAGGCCCTTATTGACTCAAAAGCGGTGAAGGTCGTGAGGACATACTCAGCTGTTCCGGAAGTCCACAATGGGGCATAGGGGGTTGATTTCCTTCTCTTAGGCATGAAGCTTAGTACGAAACCTCCATGTCCTGTGACAAATTGTGACACCCTAAAATCAGGGAGGAATTTTTCCGCTTCCAATGTAGGAAAGTATTTTCTCAATGTAGAGCCTTTGTGAGTAGTTAGCCACCGTCAATTCCACTACACAATTGCAGATAACTAGAAAACTATTGGACTTGAGTGATTTCTGATAGTAGAATAGTAAATTAGAGACAATTTATATTATTAGTAAATTTTGGTAAACCTAAAAAGAGGAATAAAAAATAGTTAAATTACATAGGTTTTTATCTAGTATTTTTTTTTTTTTTTTTTATCAACCACCTGGACTTCATATTCCATACTTTTGGTAAAACTTATATAATTATAAATAAGGATTATATCCTTATTAATTATGTTGAAAGTTGTGAGAGAACAGGATTAGAGTCACCTCTGGCTTTCTGAAAAAGATACATATATTGGGTATGTATGACACAATGTACTGACACAATCCACAATCCGACGAGCCAAATCTACCTATTTCCATGAAGCCCTTTCCTCAGCTCCTGATTCCAAATCCAAATGGCTACTCCTTCGTAAACTCTCTCTTTGTGATCCTACCAGATCTCCTCCCTCT